TGGATGCTAATGCAGCAGTGAAATAAAAGAGGATAGTAAAAGTGTTAGCTAAAGTAGGAAAAACAACGGTTAGATCAAACATGCAAACGAAAATAATAACATGAATAAAACGCCAAAATGTAGGTCAAATGTAATGCACAAGATAGTCAAATAAAGGTAAAATTGTATTTATTTATGGTATGTCATAGTTAAATATTGCAATTAAGCGTTATAACGCAGCGAATCAAGGGAAAATACAATAAAACCACGACTCAAACCTACTTTACTCTATTTGATACAGATAGCCTTCCATGAAAACGGAGAACTTTACGTCACTAGTAAATGGGTCCTGAAAAGAATCAGAAATTCTCTGGTCAACAAATATCGGAGGATTGGAACTCCTTCTACGACCAAGTTCCGAAGTAGATTCAAGCAAAGAGAAGGGTATACAAACGTCTGGCTAGAACTAGAATTGGCTACAAAGCTAGAGACTGAAACGATAGCTTGGGGACTTTAAAATGGTAATTTGTATGAACAGTAGTATCATATTAGTAGTTTAATCCCAAAATATCAGTACAGCGGATCAATTGGTAAAGTTTGAAAGGCCCTAACGTCGTGTATGCATTTATTTCAGAATTTTATTTTTTTTCCACATATCTTGCCTACAAAGTTAGGCAATATAGAACTTAGGACTAAATAAATTCCAGCCATCCCAGAAGCAAAAACATTAAAAAATAATCAGGATCAAGCTGTAACAAGTTACACTTATTTATGATGGCCTCCAATGGAATTATTATAAGAGGCACATAATCACTGAAAAAGAGACATTATACTAGATACATTCAGCAAAATAAAGTGAAAAACTTCTCGGTCTTAAAATATTCTATGTTGAAGTATTGTTTAGCTTAGATACTCACCTCAAGTTCGCCGGAATCTCGCAGCAGCTCAAAAAGTGTGAGGATATTAGAGATTTCGTGAATACGCTCAGCAACAAGCTTTTTGAGAGAGGCATGAGAACGCAGCAACTGGTCACGCCAGCGTTCGATCACGGAGACGGCTTCTCGGGCATCTCGAGCAGGATTGCTCTTTATTGGAACTTCTCCTTCTATATTCATTTTTACAATGATTGATAATGGAAGAAGGTTAGAAATGGGCAGAATAAGAAAGAGATCGAGGAAATACGAATAAAGGATAGGAGAGAAAGCAGGGACGAGACTAAGATGATAAAATTTTAGGATTGGCCGACTCGATGGATTGTATTGCATGCATATTTATGTTTACACTAAGAAATACTGTTAAGTAGGAGTATTCCAGTACTATGCACATAATGCCAATCAGGAGTCACCAGTCTTGAAATTATTTTTAACTATCAGATATGAGTGAATCGGC